ATTTTTTAGCATCCCAGCAGATTTTTCGCTGTTCCCAGGATATTTTTTAGCATCCTAATGGATTTTTCGCCATTCCCGGGATATTTTTTAGCATCCTAATGGATTTTTCGCCATTCCCGGCACATTTTTTAGCATCCCAGCAGATTTTTCGCTGTTCCCAGGATATTTTTTAGCATCCTAATGGATTTTTTGCTGTTCCCAGGACATTTTTTAGCATCCCAGCAGATTTTTCGCTGTTCCCAGGATATTTTTTAGCATCCTAATGGATTTTTCGCCATTCCCGGCACATTTTTTAGCATCCCAGCAGATTTTTCGCTGTTCCCAGGATATTTTTTAGCATCCTAACAGATTTTTCGCTGTTCCCGGGATATTTTTTAGCATCCTAATGGATTTTTTGCTGTTCCCAGGACATTTTTTAGCATCCCAGCAGATTTTTCGCCATTCCCAGGATATTTTTTAGCATCCCAGTGCATTTTCTGCTACTCCCGACATATTTTTTAGCATCCTAATGGATTTTTTGCCATTCCTGGGATATTTTTTAGCATCCCAGCAGATTTTTCACCATTCCCGGGATATTTTTTGTCATCCCCGGGGATTTTTCAGCATTCCCGGGATATTTATTGGCATCCCCAAGGGATATTTTGGCATCCCCAGGGATTTTTTGGCGTTCCCAGGGATATTTTTTTTTCATCCCCAAGGATTTTTCGGCATCCCAGTGAGTTTTTAGAATCCCGGAGGATTTTTTGACATTCCTGGGATTTTTTTTTTTGGCATTCCCAGGAGATTTTGCAGCATTCCTGAAAATGTTTTTTTTTGGCATCCTCCGGGATTTTTCGGCATCCTCAGGGATTTTTTGGCATTCCCGATTTTTTTTCGGCTTCCCCACCAATTTTTCCGCATTCCCAGGGAATTTTTTTGGCATCTCCAGGGATTTTTTGGCGTCCCCAGGAATTTTTGGGGATCCCTGAGGATTTTTTGCCGTTTCTGGGGACTTTTTCCGGCATTCCCGGGATATTTTTTGGCATCCCCAGCATTTTTTTTTTTGGTGTTTCCAGGGATTTTTGCGCTTCTCCACGGATTTTTCAGCTGCCCCAAGGATTTTTTGCAACCTCTGGGGATTTTTCAGGATCCCTAGGAATTTATTTTGGCATCCCCAGGAATTTTTCAGTATCCCAGAGGATTTTACAGCATCCCTAGGGATTTTTCAGTGTCCCTGCAGATTTTTCTGGCATCCCCAGGGATTTTTCAGTGCATCCCTGGAGGTTTTTCAGCATTCCCAAGCATTTTTCAGTATTCCCAAGCATTTTTCAGCATCTCCAGGGATTTTTCAACATCCCCAGGGATTTTTGGGCATCCCCAAGGATTTTTTTCTCGGCATTGGGATTTTTGGGCATCCCCAAGGCTTTTTTTTCCGGCATTCCAGGGATTTTTTTGGCTAGGAGATTTTTGGGCATCCCCAAGGATATTTTTTTTCCACATCCCCAGGGATTTTTCCGCATCCCCGCGTGATTTCAGGGCAGGAGCCGCCCCGGTTTCCCACTCACCGCTTCCCGGCGCCTCCGTTCCTGCTCCCGCTTCCTGGCCATCTCCCGCTGCTGATCCAACATGGATTGGGAGGACTGGGGCTGCGAGCTCTGGGCTTGGGGCGCCGCCGCCGCCGCCGCCGCTTGCTGCTGCT